TACTATGTAGCACAGGCTGACCTTGAACTCATGGCAATCCTGCTTCAGCCTTCCAAGTGCTGGGACTACAGACAGTTGTGTGCCACCATGCCTGACTTGAATTTCTATAAATTATTATTATTATTATTAATAATAATTTTGAAACAGGCTCTCGCTATGCAGCTTAGGCTGGCCTTGAGCTCACTTTGTAGCCCAAGCCAGTCTTGCACTTGCAGTGATCTTTCTGCCTCAGCCTCCTGAGTGCTGGGATCATAGGTGTTTGCCACCACACTTGGCTACTCTATAAATTTTTTTTTTTTTTTTTTTTTTTTAATACATATTTACTCCAGGGTCTATAGGGTCTCACTACACAGATTGGACTTGTACTGATCCTCCTTGTGTTCAGCCTTCCAAGTGCTGGGATTACAGGTGCGCACCACCACGCCCAGTCTTAATCGCCATCTCAGCGCACCCTAGGGGTGGAGCCAGCACTGCATACTAGGGATCAAACCCTCATCCCTGCGCCTACCTAAGCAGGTGCTGTAGTCCGCTGAGCTATCTGGCTGGCCTATGCTATAAATTCTTGATTCTAATAATTTGTTTTTATCTGATACATATGTTAAAAGAGTAGCTGTATAAGGATATAATTTATTAAAATGAAAAATGTGTGAGTTTATGGCAGGAAAAGAAGAAAATCATATATTTACTGAAATGCTGAATTTTCTTATTTATAGCTTTAGCATTTCCAGGTCATGTGGCTGCCTATAATGGTGATTTGGGAATGCTTAAGAAATTATTAGAAGATGGTGTAATCAATTTGAATGAGCGTGATGATAATGGATCAACTCCAATGCATAATGGTGAGTCATAATATTCCCGCTTCATTTTCATTGTTTTTAATATATGTATGTAGTTAGGTGTGTATTTTTTTTGAGACAGGGTCTTGCTACGTAGTCCTGTTTGGCCTTGAATTCACTGTGTAGCCTGGGCTGGCCTCAGACTTGCAGCAGCAGGCCTTCTGCCTTGTCTTCCCAAGTGTGGCGTGACAGGCGTGTACCAAATGTATTTTCAGTTCTGATAAAACTCTGCTGAGCTATTTACCTTCAAAAGTGCAATCACATGAGAACATGAATCTTTCTGATGCCCTAGTGGGTAGCAGTTTATCTTACATGATATATGGAATGCCTTATTTTCAACTCAAGTATCATATGCTTTTTTATTTTGTTGTTTTTTTGGTTGAATATTTTTAGGGGAGGTTTATTTTTGTTTTTGACATCACAAGTTTTTTTTTTATTAGTAATTTACTGCACGTTAAATATCCAGAATCTAACAATCAGTCTCATTCTGCAGCTCAGACTTGTAGTAATCCTCTTGTTTTCAGCCTCCCCATTGCTGGAATTACAGGCATGCGCCACCATGCCCAGACTTGGTAGCCAGCTCAGTGTGCCCAGGGGTGGGGATGGCACAGCCTGTGATGCAGGGAATCGAACCCCAGTCCCTGCGCTTACCTAAGCAAACGCTTAGTCCGCTGAGCTATCTTGCCGGCCCCTATTTTTTGCTTTCGGTACCGAGGACCGAACCCAGAGCTTCAGCTTGTGAGGCAGGTGTTCTGCTGCTGAGCCAAGTCCCCAGCGCCTGCTTTTTATTGTGTCAGACACTTGCACGTTGTTGCATCTCGGGGAGATTCCAGTTGAGCTTATGCTAGTGAAGAAGTGCAACGCCGCTAGGAAGTGTCTTCAGCAGCCTCTCAGGGCAGATGTGAAGGGCACTGCGAGGAAGTTTCTTAGAGTAACATTTAAAAAATGCCTATTCACAGTGACATGAAAAATTTATAGCCAAATTTTCTTGTTTAGACTGCTAAGAAAATGTTATTAATTTCACAAAAATGATCAGTGAGCATTATTAGATTTCAACATGTTAAGATCCATCTCTTTTCCTCCTTTCCGTATAGAATTCTATAATAAGTGTCAGATTTTCCTATTTTATTGAGACTCTAGGAATTGTGCTTTTTAGTCTTCCTTAAAAAAAAAGAAGAAAATAAAAGCTAGGTGTGGTGGTGCACACCTGTAATCCCAGCACTGGACAGGCTGAGGCAGGAGGGTCTCTATGAGTTTGAAGTCAGCCTGGATTACATAGTTGGGATCCTGACTGGAAAAAAAAAAAAGCGAAAGCATATATTTAATCTTGTGCCTAAAATTTCCATTCTGCTCTATTTGTATTAATGTTGAGTTTCTTCATGATCTGGTAGCATGTGACAAGTATTTGAATTGGACTTTATTTTGTAAATAACTTTTTTTTTTAAACATTTATTTATTTAGTGTGTGTGTGTGTGTGTGTGTGTGTGTGTG